GCCATGTGTTGCCAGGGAGCAGAGTCCCCTTTCTCACCTGTAAACCCAGCAATTTAGGGGCAGCTCCCTGCAAAACAAAAAAGCACCGCCTTTTCAGCCAGCCAGCCTTGGCTCCTGAAATTTCCTAAGTAGATAAAGTAGCTCTTTCTTTGGGTTGCTTTTATGCTGCAGCATTTTCCTCACCAGCCACATAGCTTCACTGATACAGTAACATTAGTTAGAGAATGTCTGTGGGGTTTTGATTTTTTTGAGGGGGATGCTTCTGTAGATGAGCAACATTAAACCAGTGTTCTCTGCCAGTATAGCTTACTACATTTTGATCATCAGTCAAAAGCACTCTTTCAGAATATATATATATATATATATATATATATATATTCTTGAAATAGAGGTATATATCAATGTAGCTTGATAGTTTGTAGAGAATAATCATGCAATTTAAATAAAGCAATGTATTTTTACAATTTCTTTAGGTGATAAACACTCTCTGAAAAGTATGCTTGAATACTTCTTGTGCAACAAGGACAAAATTATGCAAGCATAAGTTGCTTAAAGATATATAAAAGTAGAAGTAACGGTTGTTATTGAAGGTGGTTTACACTGTCAGTCTAGCTCAGAAATAGTCCATGATTTACTTCTGAGCCTTGGCCATTCATCTAAACTAGTTTTGCTCCCTGAATAAATCAGTTAGTTCCCTAAAGAGGAAATGCAAGCCTAGTTGACTAAGTAGCATGGTTAAATGTTTATTCTGGGTGCTGTGAATATGGCCTATGACAAGCTTGGCTAGCATGGTGAGCAGAGCAAGGCAGCTCTATCCCAGCTGGCTTTATGTCCTCAAATACCCCCAACGTTGTGCCCTTGGGCATGCCACACATTTCAGCCTAAAGCTTTAAAAACTACTTTCTCTTCATTTCAAGCACTTTAAACGTAGAAGCATGGAAGAAGCTGATTTAGATGCAGGTGGTGACCTGGACCACTTTCTGCAAAGTGGTCTAGTTTGCATCTGGACTTGTTGGTCCCAAATAGCGTGAAGGTGAGCCTATCTGCAGCATTTAGGCTCGGATACTTCCACATTGCAGTCCACCAGGGTGATTTGAGCATCTCTGATACTCATGCTTTCTGTAACTCTACAGGCTACATTTCAAATCACTTGCATGTTTGGGAGTTGCACAGCACGTCCCACATAATCTTGCAGAGCCCAGAGGAGAAGGAGATTTGGATGAGTGGGCGACCAGGTATGGCTCTGCTCAGTGTGGGACTGGCTTGGGCAGGTAGTTGCCTTCTGGGGCTCTCTGATGGTATCTGCCTTAGCCTGGCAGCCTTTCTTCCTTCCAAACAGGACTTAACATGGTCACCCAGAAGCTCTTGTGATGAGACAACAGTGCTGCTCATCATGTGATGTAACCCTGTTTGTATGACTGACCATGGACTTGCCTTTCTTGAACTGGGTGATCTAATGGCCTCTCTTAACTATAAAATCAGTGAGGACAGAGCTTCAAAATATCTTTCTCAAATAATTGGTCTTAATATTACCACAGGGCAAAAATGCTGCTTAAATCAAATTAACTTCAGAAGAAAATTATAGTGGTCAGTATTATAGGTGGGGCTTCTGCAGACTCTGAAGCCCAAAGGTGAATGTAAGTTAAAAGTATTCCCACTGCAGCTAATTTTTGCAATATTTCATGCTTTGGATCAAGTTCAGCACTTGTGGCAGAAGAGATGTTTGACCTCTGAGGTTTTACATCTACTCTGGAGCTAAAACCGAGGAGATAAGCTTTTAATGTTCAATCCTAGGCAGAGAGAGAATGGAGGAGGGAGGAAAAAAAAAAGTGATTTATTTATATTATAGACTTCAGTGTTGTCTTCAGTTATGTGCAACAAGCACTGAAGTACTGTGTGTGTGAGATGGACATAAATGTCAAACTCTTTTACTTCTGCTAGGATTTCTGCTGGTTCTAAGGATAATAATATCTGTTCCCTAGAGTCTACCTGTTCCTCTTCCTTTTTCCCTCCTTCCCCCTGCTCCATATTCTTCCAAAGGTCATGGCTATGAGAAGTCTTTAGCATACAAGTCTCTGGGCACGTAACTCATAATTCATCTGCTAGAACAGCATTGTCATGATTCCCAATATAGATCAGCCTTTTCCTCCAAATTACATGCAGTTGGCCTGTTTCTTTTTTTAAATGCTAGGAAATTTCTGAAATAAAGTATTTTTCACTAAATGTTGCCTCATGATTCAAATGACAGGATCAGTCTGGATGTAAATGCAGCAAGTTATCACGTGACCCTTATTTGAAATCTTACCTCAAAATCTGTAGTTTGTCCCCTGATATTGTCTCCACCATTAGAACTCCAATTAATGTGAGATCTGTGCAAGATTCATGCTCATCTAGTCTGACATTGGTGTAACGTGAATTGAAGACTTTAATCTGGGAAGATTTAAATTGAGCCTACATTTAGAATTTTTTTTAGGAATGCATCCAATCTTATTTTTTATTTCAGTCACTTCACCCCATGCTTGAAGAGCTTTGCCAATACTTAATTACCTTTACTTTTCACCATGTGCACTTTTCAGTGGAGGTCTACAACATAGTGTTGACTCTTGTATCTCATATATGGTGGGCTATATATAAATCCTGTTTCTGTGTAGGTAATTGAGAACTGTGATCAGGTAACCTCATTGAACTAAATAGTTGTATTGTTTTAGGCTTTGCAACAACAGACGGTCTCTCAGACCCAAACTGCTCTACGTAATCATTTGATCCTGTGTATAAATCGACTTTCTACTGGATTAAACCATTTCCACTGCTAACAAACGGCTAGTTTTTCTCTTGCACTGTTGGATCTAGTGCTTTGTAAGGTAGGCTTATCTGTACCAAATAAGCTGTGAGGACTTTTATCTTCAGCAACTTTTATGTATTTATTTGCTTGAGCTGTAATAACTGATACTTTGAAAATTGAACGTTTTCTGATTGCTTCCCCATATTTCAACTAATGAGTGGTGCAGCGAGTGTTAATACGTGAAGAATGTATCCTTGAAAATATTAGATTCTTGTCTGTTATCCTTTTGCCCTGCTGTAGGCATGCTTGCTGATCAGTAGGTAACTCTGGGTTGGAGTTTGAGCAGTGATCAGACAGAAATGGGAGCAAGCACTCATCTTTACAATAGCTGCCAGCAGAATTAGGTCACTAACAGGCTTTCAGCAATATAGTGTTAATTTTCTTCTCTACACACTTAAGCACAGAAGGTATAATTATAATTCCACATCTTTCTGAGTGATCCTCTAGTGTAGCATTCTTCCCAATGGATTATATATGAATCTTTTAACCTCATGTACCTAATGTGACTGTCCAGTCCAGCATTCAGCTCTCCCATAATGAAGGCTTAAGGACCAAGCCTGTCGCAGGCTCCTGCAGCTGGGCTCCTGCCAACAGTGCAAAATGTAAGTTTATGCATACCTTTATTCATAAGCTAGAATTAGTCATATACTTATGTGTTTGCAAATTTAGGAGCAATATGTGTATATATGTGGTTACTGAGGCTTATTATCTTGTATAAATCAGCAGTTAGTTAGTCACAAGCAGCCCTCCATTGCTTTGAGGCTTTGAAATATCTATTGTGAGAGGGCGCAAGTGATCTCTGATAGCATTTAGCTGCTTGTTTTGTGGGACTTGAGAGTTAAGATGAATGAAATGCTGCAATCTAAACCCAGGTATTTGATGAATGGTTCACTTTAGTAAGAATTTAACAAGTATTGGTAATAATTGCCTCCAGTTGGTCTTGTCCTTTGAAATAATGTGCATGATTTTTTACCATATTTAATAACAGTTGATTGTACTTTTTTTCTTATTTGAAAAAAAAAAAAGTTGCTTGCATTACTAATATGTATACTCACCTCTGATCTTTTTAATCTCTTCTACTGTAGCTCCCAAAGACTTTCTGAGTATATTAAAGTCAAATATTTATGTCCCTAAGGCATATGCATTGTCTTCTAAATATGTTTTGCAAATACGATCCTTGTACAGATCCAGTTTGTAGCTCTTTAATATGGAAAATTGCAGAAATAGGAAAAGCAGAGTACTCTCCAAACATGTTTGAGGTGGTGTTATTTTTAAATGCACTGTGGGTTCTAATGACTTGCTTCTTGGTGAGACTGGCACAAGTTCTAGTATAAGAGTATTTCGCAGAAGGAAGAAAAAGTGAGACCTTGGTGTCTCATACCATGAAATTTACATTAGAGGTTTTGCTGGTCTCTGGATTTAGACAGGTAAGCTTACAAGAACATGCTTGACCTTGTGAGTCATGCAGTATGTATCTGGATGGACATGATTAGATGCATAAAGTGCAGAAATTTTCCTAAGGAATAAAATACTGCAATAGAAACTAAAAATAAACTAAAGCAGAACATGTAATTTATATAACTACACCAAAAGGTTAGGTGTCCGATTAACTCTTTATTCTCTGCAGTTAGTTTTCCTCTCGTTTTCGCCTTCTCCCCCAATGCCTGGGCACTTCAATCTGCAGCCAGGAGACAGACCATTGAGAATTGTCGCACGTCTCTCTTTCCCACAGTCAGACTTGCTCAGCACTTTGGAAACAATAGCTGCTTCATTGCTGAGTTGTGAAACAAAAAAGTTAAATGTATCAGCAACAGTGCATGAAAAATGTGAATAACAGCCTTCCACAGGAAGAGATTTTTCCATGCCAGTGTGTAGGTATACAGGATTTATTGGTGACAGAAGCTAGTAAGTAAGAAATCCTTCTTTTGTACATCATCTGCCAGCTAAATACTGAGAGAAGTAAACCATGAGTTTTTACTAATAATAGCAGGAAGGAAGAACCCTGTTAAATGAAGATAGCAAAGTTGGAATGACTTGTGTGTGTAAAATCCAAGGTTGTTTTCCCTCTCCACAGACCTTTGTAGTCACCCTTGGGAAAAGAAACAACAAAAAAAAAAAAAGTGCTCTTAAGAAGAAGAATCTTGATTTCAAGGGAGAATTGAAGAAGAGGAGGCAGATGTAAGTTACAGATGGTATATTGATGGTCATGTGAAAATTATGTGAAGATGTGAGATGAAGTGCAGTTGTGCTCTTGTGGAACTGACTCACTCTGTGTCCTATTAGTAACAGTTTCAATTTTCTATGAGCTGCTTTTAGTTTTAAATGAGGTGTGGCATCATTAGCTCTACAGACTCTGCTGTCTCAGCACTTGCTGGTGGGTTATGTACAGGGTCTCAATTCACCACTTTTGCTAAATTCTAAAAGGAGTGACAGAAAAAGCATTGATTTATTTCACAGCAATAAAAATTATATATATGGATCCTAGTCATATTGTGTCTTCTTTTAAAGTGTTCAGCTTTTCATTGCTTTGTTCCTTTTGCTGAACATTATTTTAATGGTGCAGAGACTGCTCAGGTGTTTTATCCTCCTGCAAAGAACTTTATAGCATATATACTTATATATTCTGACACCCTCCAGGAAACAGCTAAAGAGCTGCTAGTTTATTTACATCGAGCAAAATCAGTAAACTTTCTAAGATAAATAAATCCAACCAACAGAGAAGATGTAAACTTCTCATTCGGAGTATTCTGAAGAAACATGAATTTTATAGCATCTTTTTCACTGTTGTGGACTGAGAGATCTCAGTCTGTGTTTGAATCAATTTTGAAGTAATTTAGTAGAAATTGAAAATAGAATTTGAACTTTATAATATGTTTTGGTTTAAAACAATGTTCTGTCTAAATTATTTGAGATGGGAAGCCAGGTGTTAATTTAATTCTAAAACAACTACATCTTACTCCTGTGGCACTGCAGCAGGTAAGGAAGTGCTGCATGTTTCTAGAGTTGGGGATAACATAGAGGAGTATGCTAAAACTGAGCTGAGACTGTATTTTGGAGCTGTCAAAGTCAATTAGAGGGGTAGAAAGGATAACATGAATGAACTGGATTGCTAGTTGTGCTGCTATGAGAACTGATCCATAAGTGGACAGTAAGTCCCTTGCAGGTATCTGGAGACCTTTGTGAGAGGAGCAGGGCAGACAAAGAGTAGTATTAGCTTCAGACATCTGGATTAGGTGTGCCTGCATATCTTTTGGGTCCATGGCTCCAGTGAACGCTATAAACAGCAAGAGAATGAGGGTGACAATACCGTGAGCAGACGTGCATGTGGGAGAGATGCTGAGTCTCGTTTTCCAGTAGCTGTGTCCATGTACATGCATGCACAAGAACGTTTATTCTTTACAGCCCTGAAATGGTCTCTCTTGGGTCTATGAAAGTTATTAGAGAAGAGACCAGCTCTGATGCGTGTTAAATCGAAAAGTCAATATTTGTATTTCTGAGTACTTAATTCCTACACTTTGCCACCTTAAAAGGAGGATATGGATGTATATACGTCTATGAAAAGCTGGAGGGTAATAAAGTACAACTAACACAGTATGTGAAAGAAATTAATGGCAGCTTCTGTGTAACTACACATGGGCAGACTTGATCTGAGAAATATCATACTAGATTGTAGACCTTCCTTCTTTGGAGAGGTTGGGAGGGGAATGGCATCACTTGACTCCCCACCTGTGAGTGGAGCAGAGAGGAAAGCATTTGCTCACCCCAGTGGAAGAGTGATAACATGATGCAGTATGTCTTCATGTGACACAGTTGGTACTTACTAAGGGTGGAAATACAGTAGGCCATAAGAGCTTTTAAAGTCTCAAGAAAGATTAACACAATGGGAATTTATCAGAAAATATAGATCTTTAGTTTCGGGAATTGCCCATTCCCTCGATTACTAAAAAATCTATTTCTTGTAAGTGACTCTCATTCCTTACATTCTCTCTAAAAGGATATTGCATAACTCTTGCTTGTTATTCTCAATATGTTATTTAATGTGAAAGCCGCATTTCAGCATTTGATCTATTTATATGCTGTTTGTACACATGAACACAGACTTTCTTTGGATTCGATTCATTGTACCTTAAAAATAATTCAAATACCACAGGTTTCATTGTAAACAGTGAAGGATTCCAACCCTCAGGTCATTGCCTGTTGTTTAAGAAAAGCACACTTGGAATTGCTTCAGTAATTATCAGTGTTCTCTTATAAAACTAAATAGGCTTTTCCTGTGATGGAAAGAAGATTAAAGGTCATATAGTTCAAAATAAGTTTTTGGACATTGCCAGATTAAGGAAAATAAACTCTTTAATTAATAAGGTCAACTTCTTTAATGAATGTTTATTAGTTCATAAGGATGTATGAGCTGAAGAGAACTGGCGGGGACAGAATTAAGTAGATAGCATGACTCTTCTGAGGAACGGCAATTTTTTTCTTCAGCCCTCTTTGTAAAGTCTGAATGACGTGGTCTGGCCCTTGAACCTCACATTGAATAAAGTGCAGTAGATAATGTGGGCAAATGATATTTTCCTCTGAAAATATGCTGTCTTGAAAAGTACCCGCAAAAAATGAAACATGCTTTGGAATATCTAGTTTGTGCTTTATTTCAGTTATGTATTAGTAAAATGTAGCAAGCCCTGGAGAAATGGGAAACCATCTCTTGTGTATTCTAGGTTGATTGATTCTAGGTTTATGAACTGAAAAAAAATGTGGGTACATTTGTTTCTATGCTTTGTAGCTGTATTAAGTGTTTGAAAAAGCATAGTGATTAGCCATAGCATTGGTGATAAGAGGTGTTTTCTGTGTATGCAATTTAAGATATTATTTGTCGGACTTGTGTGCCTTTGCTCAGTGTACTTGTTCCATGCTGCATTGCAAAGTGCAAGAATTCAAGGAAGTGTGTCAACCATGAGATCACCAAATTCAAGCGTATCAGGAAATGTGTGTAGCTGTATCAGATTTACACAAATACATAAGTTGAATCCTTCATCTTACTGCACTATTAATTTGTCAGTTGTAGTAGGTATCAAGAAAATTTTTGAATGGGTTAAAATACGAGTGTGTAAATGACTCGGCACCATTTCCTTTTCCAGCACAGCACAATAGCCTAGAAGATCAAAATTTCTCTTTTGGCCAGTAGTGTCCCTTAACCTTCACCCCTTTGCTTTGTTCTTTGTTCAGATGATTAGGTGTTTTCCATCTGCACCTCAGTGGGAGAAGAATCTGTGCTTGTTAATTTGAGCTGACTTCCTAAGGAAGTTGGGCTTATCTGATAATGCTTTGTCTGTCCTCTTACCCTTGCAATAACCTTTGAACACACTGCCCAGGTTCAGTTCACTCAGAACAAGGAGGTGAGGTCTCAGCATGCTATGTCCTTACACACTTGATGGAACTCTGCAGCTGGATGTAGAGACACTGCTCTGAGGAGATGGCTGCAGAACGAAGCCTGGACTGCAATCCAGGCCTCTCTAGTGTGCCTTCTCTGTTCTCTCATGAGACTTAGGGGGTAATCTGTAATAACATTTGACTAATATGTAACAGCAATAGATCATGAACAGGCTTGCAGGTATCCCAAAACATAATTACTCTATTTTGGTAGTATTAGGATTCACTGTGTTTCTTAGAAGAATTTGTTTTCTCATGTTACCATCTGGAGAGTAGTGCAGTGTTCCCAGTAGTAATAAATGTGCTTGTATTTAACCACATGCTTGGTGGAAAATCAGTATGAGCAAGGAATTCCAAATTCAGGAGTTAGACACCCAATTTTCTTTTGACAATGTCTTTGTTCTGAAAATCTTGTGCTAGAAACACCAGCTGTAACGTCTGGCTTGGGGACCACTCTTGCATGATGTATGCTGGGCAATGCATGGCACATGACTCCAGTAGGACCAACAGTTTTCTAATAAGCATATGTTTTAAATGAAAACAGGTATAATTCAATGACAACAAAAGGCAGAGGGTGCAAAATGTATATTTAGCTTGGAAAACAACAACAACAAAAAACATCTAACAAGGTCAGTTTTAATTGTGGTAAAAATAAATCACTGATTCCTACGGTGTCTCTTTGTTCTGCGCTTTCAGTCTGCTGCTCTGCCTGACTGCTCTGCCTCTTCAGTATCACCGCCTTTCTTTATCTCTAGCCTGGCTATCCCAGCAGGGATATTCTTCTCAGTTCTCTCTATAAGCCACCTGGCTTGTTCTCGTTTGGTGGGGATTTTTTTGGTTGACATGAGTAACCTGAAGGAGTCTTCCATTATACTTTCCAAATCCTTCTCAAAATTGTATCCGTTGCTATGACTAAACTATTTGACATACGCTGCTTCTGTATATTTTCCTTCCTTTCAAAAGGCAATTCCTAAGGGTTTCAGTTCCTCTGTGTGTGTAGTGTGTTGTGTTGTCCAACGGGTACTAAGTGCTTTTATGAAATGACCCTTGAATTGTGGTGCTTATTCATGGATTTCTTAAGCAAATGACTTGAAACTTCTGCGATTCCTGTCCTGTATGCAGTCTTCATGTATCACTCTCCCCAAGTCAGGAAATCCCATGGAAAGAATTATAGAAGAGTTTTCTCTCATCTCCTTGTCAGGTGAGGGTGCTTCTCATGCTAATCATAGAATCGTTGAATGGTTTGGGTTGGGAGAGACCTTAAAGATCATCTAGTCCCAATCCCCCTGCCATGGGCAGGGACACCTTCCACTAGACCAGGTTGCTCAAAGCCCCGTCCAGCCTGGCCTTGGACACTGCCAGGGAGGGGGCAGCCACAGCTTCTCTGGGCAACCTGTGCCAGTGTCTCACCACCTTCACAGTACTTATAACTAATCTTAGTCTACCCTCTTTCAGTTTAAAACCATTACCCCTCATCCTACCCCTACACTCCCTGATAAAGAGTCCTTCCCCATCTTTCCTTGTAGCACTGGAAGGCCGCTATAAGGTCTCCCCAGAGCCTTCTCTTCTCCAGACTGAAAAAGTCTCTCAGCCTGTCCTCATAATGGAGGTGCTTTAGCCCCTTCATTGTCTTCATAGCCTTCTCTGGACTCTCTCGAGCAGGTCCATGTCCTTACTGTGTTGGGAACCCCAGAGCTGGACACAGCACTGCAGGTGTGGTCTCATAAGAGCAGAGCAGAGGGGTAGAATCC